TAGGTTTTTTTTTTTTTTTTTTTTTTTTTACTTGTCGCAAATTACAATCAGAAAATATTGCAGCACTCCCAATTTTTTTTTTGTGAGCAGCTGTGTTAATATGAATACACCTCTGCTTATAGGTTCTCCCACCATTGCACACATGTGGACAAAGAGGAAGTGTAAAAGAATGTTTACAGCAACTGAACTTGAATATGGTTGAAGAAATAAACAAAGGCATTTCAGGACTTTGTGACATGGTGACGCAGTGATTAGTGCTGTCGCCTCACAGCAAGAAGGTTATGTGTTCGAGCCCCGGCCGACCCGGTGCCTTTCTGTGCAGAGTTTGCATGTTCTCCCTGTTCCTTCGTGGGTTCTCTCCAGGTACTCCGGCTTCCTCCCACAGTCCAAAGACATGCAGCTTAGGTTGACTGGAGACTCTAAATTGCTCGTAGGAGTGAGCGTAGTTCTCTGTCAGCCCTGTGATAGACTGGTGACCGGTCCAGGGTGTACCTCGCCTCTCGCCCAATGTCAGCTGGTATTGCTACACAATCAAAATGTCTACAAGTCTTGTGAACTGTTGCTGGCAAGACTTTTTTCCAGTCATGTAAAGTCTTACGCAATAGTTCACGAATTTCCTGGATTGGTCATATTCACCTGGCTGTGCTCCTGCAAGCTTGCCTGACATCCACTGGTGCCATATTAAAAGCAGAATTTCCTGACTGCACATGGTTTTGTGGATATATTTTACCTCTTGCTGCCTGCATTGTGACCTGAGGATGTGGAGAAAACTATAGGGCCTGAGGTTACTGCATGTCCAGGACTGTTCATGTACAGGGACTTGCTGTTTTACCTGACCATGTCTAACCTACAGTGGGTACGGAAAGTATTCAGACCCCCTTAAATTTTTCACTCTTTGTTATATTGCAGCCATATGCTAAAATCATTTAAGTTCATTTTTTTCCTCATTAATGTACACACAGCACCCTATATTGACAGAAAAACACAGAATTTGACATTTTTGCAGATTTATTAAAAAAGAAAAACTGAAATATCACATGGTCATAAGTATTCAGACCCTTTGCTCAGTATTTAGTAGAAGCACCCTTTTGAGCTAATACAGCCATGAGTCTTTTTGGGAATGATGCAACAAGTTTTTCACACCTGCATTTGGGGATCCTCTGCCATTCCTCCTTGCAGATCCTCTCCAGTGCTGTCAGGTTGGATGGTAAACGTTGGTCGTCATGTTTAACATGTCATTTTGCTTCAGTGGCATTTTGGTCTGTTTCACCCAGATAGATGAGTCGGTGTGAAAATGTGGGAAAGATGGTCAAAAATGTGATTTAATGTGCTTCTCTTAAAAGCAGTTGTAGGTTTGGTGGTTGAATAAAAATGGGAAGGAGAAAGCTGTGTGACCACACAAAGCAGTTTTGAGTTTTGAGATTCAGTAAATTTGCCACTTCCCCTTTTTTTAACTGTCTTCTTTTTTATGTGGTGTCAAATCTGTGAAAAAGAAAACATTTGTTTGTACATGACCCGGTTGTACTTTTCCTCAGATGCCTGGTAATATCTAACATCTTCAGAATGAATCTAAATGGTAAATCATAATAATGTGGTTTATGATGACATATGAGTGCACTTTTCAAAGTACTCTACATCAGGATATTTCATTCTGACTGACAAGATGTACTTAACATGTACTTACCAAACAAACAAAAACACTATCTTTATAATAATGACCCTCATCAGTCAAATTAAATATTCTTCATATTTTATATTAGAAAACCAGACAGGAAAATGTTGTTTTTACTGCGCCAACCAAACCAGTGCTTTCAGATGAAGACTTTTAAAGTGTAGGTGAAAACTAAAAATCGACAGTATGAATCTTTCATCACAGGAACTCACAGGAATTGCACATTAAATAGTTTATTATTGAAAGAAAAGTGGATGAATAAATCAATTATAAAACAAACACAAGTGAGAATACATGGAGGACTGCAGACTTAATCTAAACGATATCCGGGACTCACCGCTCAGCAGGGAGGGATTTCATTCATGAAGTGCTGGAGGAAGAAATGGGAGGATGTCTGACCTTCGCTCCCATACTTATGTCTGTGACAGGAGGCATCTCAGGGATGATCAGCAGAAATGGACAGCACCTAAGTTAAATATATGAGTGTCACAGCAAAGGGTCTGAATACTTATGACCATGTGATATTTCAGTTTTTCTTTTTTAATAAATCTGCAAAAATGTCAAAAATTCTGTGTTTTTCTGTCAATATGGGGTGCTGTGTGTACATTAATGAGGAAAAAAATGAACTTAAATGATTTTAGCATATGGTTGCAATATAACAAAGAGTGAAAAATTTAAGGGGGTCTGAATACTTTCCATGCCCACTGTATATGCAGCTGGCCAGTGAAGCCCCTTGGGCATATATACTGTATGTCTGCATTATGCCATTTAAAATATAGGGTTTGTCAATTACCTGCTTTGTATAGAGTGTTACACATCTCTTTTCATCGGTACATATACCATTGATTACCTATCTGTGGAGGAGAAATTCAATTTAATTGATGCCGTTGCGGTTCATTCTGCTGTCTACTTTCATATGCTGGCACAAACATGTCAGGTAGGATTTGAGGTATTGTCAAAAATGTAGCGTATTTGTCAAAGTTTTTTGTTTATGCTTCTCCCTGGCTTCCTGGCCGGTCTTGTGTTCAAGTGTTCCCCTGTCGAGACGTGTTTCCCCTATTCAACAGAAAAGCTGTTGGAAACTTAATTCCTGAGTACATCGCATTACTGCCACCCATGTGGAGATAATCTGCCTTAACACTGGAATGATGAAGTTGACTGTGGACATGCACAGTTTCCCCGCTTTAGGGCAATGAATACTTAAGTGCATTGAAGTTTACTTCAGTGAAGACACAGGTGTATTTCCAAAACAAAAAAACGGTAAATGATTTCATGCTTAGTCTTCCTAACACTGCATACAGCTGGTTAACTGTCCAGAAATAACAGTCAAATGTTACCATAAAATGTAGTGAGCTAAAGCTAGCTACTGTTAGCATACAGCTACACAATGAGGGTGCGCTCTCTTTTTCTGTGGTGTTAAGGGGGACAAAACCGAGTGTTCTTCCTGTCCTGACAGTGGAGACTCCACCGGAAGTAACTCCAGAGAGGAGGTCTCCAGCCAGACCCTCTCACTGGTGGACTAAAACTCCTTTTCAGTGATGGATATTAAAAATATATCCGTGGTCATGATGAACAGTATGTTATGACCAATGATAATGCACAGTTTACCAAAATATGTATGTGAAGGGTCATGTTCAGGAGAATTCATAAATTTGTCAGTAGGAGTGAAAGTGGACTTTCAAGTCCAAAGGGCTACTTATAACAGTGTAAGTACATGCCAGTAGCTCTGGTTTCCTCCCATTGTCTTAAGACATGCAGGTGAGGTCAGTTGGAGACTCTAAATTGCCTGTAGCATTTCCAATGCACAAATGAATGCACCACCAGCAAAATACCCCCCACAGCATAGCAGAGCCATAGAATCCCCTCATGGCATTCAGGTTTTTTAACTTCTTTGTCATCCAACATTATCTTGTACCTCAAAGACAGTGGACCTATAGCTTTTTTTTTTTATTCATTACAAAGTCAAATCTCAGCCAAGTGAAATCATGATTAGTACATAAAAAGAATAATTGAATGGATTTGTTTGACCCTTTTTGTTTGCGCCACCCTGAGAGGTCATCAGTTTTCCTGGGGATTGGCAGATTATCATGCCCCCTCACATTGGGAGAAATCCATATTTAAAGGAATAGTTTGGGATTTTTCAAGTTGCTGTTAAAATAATATTGATGTATCCCTGTGTACGTGAGAATAGATCTTGGTTGTTGTCACTTCTCCTACTCTCTACACTGACCCTGAATGTTTCCCCCCAGAATGTGACTACGCCACAAAAAATGAGGGACAAACTACACAATTTTTGTTCTGTGCAAAGACTTACTCCAAAGTTGGTCTGAGGCTCAAATGTAGCTTCACCTGCCTTTTTTGCACAGAACAAAAATTGTATAGTTTGTCCCTCATTTTTTGCAGCGTGTGGAGAGTAGGAGAAGTGACAACGGTCAAGATCTGTTCTCACATACACAGGGTTACATCAATATTGATTGATTGATTGATTTATTCTTTCAAACATGGAGAACAGAACAAATGACAGCAACACACAACTACACATATCCAACCAATGCTAATCCAAAATCAGTTTGCTTACACCTATTACATGTTTGAATGGAGTAGGAAGAAGTCAGACTTATCCAGTCCTACCCCATAACATCATATTATACAAAAATTTCATGCATCATTGGCTGCAAGCAGAATCTCTACATAGATAAAACAGAGTGTTTCCTTAATGCCTTCTCGAATAAATCTTATTCTTGCATATATCTTGTATAACACATACATTTATATTGTTTTAACACCAACTTGAAAAATCCAAAGCTCTTCCTTTAACTAATATCAGGGCCTTGATTTGTGCAATCGCAGGGAGTTCATTCTTAAAATACAGTGACGTGCGGTGAGGTTGACAGCTGGTGAGGCACTGACTCTTTTACAGTCAGATTTACAAATACAAATGAACCGTTAACAAATTGTCTGTTAACAGACAATGCATTATGTTTTATATCTCACATCAGCTTTCTTCACACAAACGTGACCCATATTTAATTTGAGGTTAAAATTTATTCCAGTTGAGCTTATTTCAAATCTCAGCCAAGTGAAATCATGATTAGTACATAAAAAGAATAATTGAATGGATTTGTTTGACCCTTTTTGTTTGCGCAGCCCTGAGAGGTCATCAGTTTTCCTGGGGATTGGCAGATTATCATGCCCCCTCACATTGGGAGAAATCCATATTTAAAGGAATAGTTTGGGATTTTTCAAGTTGCTGTTAAAATAATATTGATGTATCCCTGTGTACGTGAGAATAGATCTTGGTTGTTGTCACTTCTCCTACTCTCTACACTGACCCTGAATGTTTCCCCCCAGAATGTGACTACGCCACAAAAAATGAGGGACAAACTACACAATTTTTGTTCTGTGCAAAGACTTACTCCAAAGTTGGTCTGAGGCTCAAATGTAGCTTCACCTGCCTTTTTTGCACAGAACAAAAATTGTATAGTTTGTCCCTCATTTTTTGCAGCGTGTGGAGAGTAGGAGAAGTGACAACGGTCAAGATCTGTTCTCACATACACAGGGTTACATCAATATTGATTGATTGATTGATTTATTCTTTCAAACATGGAGAACAGAACAAATGACAGCAACACACAACTACACATATCCAACCAATGCTAATCCAAAATCAGTTTGCTTACACCTATTACATGTTTGAATGGAGTAGGAAGAAGTCAGACTTATCCAGTCCTACCCCATGACATCATATTATACAAAATTTCATGCATCATTGGCTGCAAGCAGTATCTCTACATAGGTAAAACCTGCCTCCCCTGACCGCACGTCACTGTTAAAATATGTCAAGAGTTTGTGTGTGTATGCTGGGAGGGAAGGGGTTGGTGGAAGGGCGGTTCTACAGACCCATCTGAGTGTGTGTACATTTATGTTTTGATCATTATTAGCTTTTACATCAACCAGAGATGTAGAACATCCATCAAATCCATAGTACTTAATGGAGATTATCATTGCAGCCGTTTTGACCTCAAACATCAACAGTGTTGATTACAGACATATACTGTAAAGCATCAGTCATGTCAGTCATTTTTAAAAAAAAAGATTTCATAAAATTAAGAAAAGTCACAAGGTATCATAGTAATAGAATAATGGAAAATGTTTTTTAAACAGTTCAAGTGGCTCAGAGGTCATATTGACCCCAAACAGAAGACAAGGGTAGAGTGTGCTGTGTGTATTTATTTATGTGGGAACACAGATTTTAAAAACTGATCCATATGCAAAATAGGCCCACTGTTAACTTCTATTAAAGATTGTATTTGGTACATATCTGCACCATACCGAATGTTCTGTACCAAAACGGTTCGGTATGAATACGTGTACCTTTACACCCTTAATAAACACAGAATTGAAAAAAAACAGAAAAATGGCTAAATTAGTATGAATATTTTCAGTATGAAAATACCTTAAGAGTTTAAAGGTTTACTGGGTAGGGTTGGTAGAACTTTATTCATCCCACAGTGGGATCACTGTCGCTTTGAATTAGCATCAAGAACCAAGGCTAATTTTTTAAAGTAATACAATACAGTATTAAAATCAAAAGCTTAACAACAAAACACTCAGTGAGGCCAGAGAGAAGAGCGTATAAAGTTTAGTTTTATGACTGTCAACTCCAACTTATTTATTTATTTGGAAAATACTATATCATGTGAGATAGGTCCAAATGCCAGAACTGAATATCATCAGTTTGTTTTAATACAATGACTACAATTAGTCATCATCACTAATTTCCAAAACATCAAACCATGTGGAATAAAGTTAGCCAGTTTCTATTAACCTGTATTTAGCTGTTTACACAATGTAGATCTTTTTCTATATCACTTGTTACTGTAGTGAACATTATTGTTTTCCATGGAAAAGGAAACATTTATTCAAGCCAATGCAACAGATGAGTTAAGCCTGAGGCTGGTTGTATGATCATGTGTGATTCAGCTTGCATCAATAAGAAGACAGGATTCTGGTAACAGTAGTCTGAGAACATCACAGATCCTCGGGCATTCTTCCCACCTGTCAACAGAACAAAGGATTTTGAGATCAAGAACACAATTACTTAGGACAAACATGTAACATATTATTTAACAATATTGAAGGTATTTCATTCTTTAATTAATTATAGTTGAATATGAAGGAGAATAAATGAATGAATATCAATATTATGAATTTTAATATAACTGGATCTACAGTATATCACACAGAACATAAGTCTGGATATGTGGCCCTAGACCCAAGAAGTCCATTCAGTCCCATCACATCACAACACTGCTACAGAGGCTCTCAATGTGATTGGAAGGCAGCAGGTAATAATACATAAAAATTATAAATAAAGACAAGAACACTGAAGATAAAAGGTATAAAATGTGTGCAATCCAAAATAGGATAAGGTGGACAGTATTTATAAATATTTAATATACATGTATATACATCATGGCAGAAGGGTTTTCAGCCTGATGTAAACAATGGTTATATTCACTGGAGTGATTATTGTCTTTTCATGCAGACATAGATGAACTGTTCATTAGACTGATGGCACGGGGGAAGAAACTGTCCTTGTGTCTGGTTGTTTTCAAAGTTCAAAGTGTTTATTTGTCATATGCACAGTTAGGAAACGTGTTTCCCTGTACAATGAAATTCTTACTTTGCCATCCACATGAATGCCACAAAATACAAATGAAATATAAAGTAGATAAATAAGTAACACAAAATCTAAGGCA